ACATTAATTCTGTCAAGGATTTCAACATTAAGGCCGCCTTCAAACTTCCTGGCCTTTTTGTAATCAGTATCAACCATGTGCGGTGCATAACGGGCAAGTTCGGTGAACTTTGTTTCATACTCTCCTACGGACATGGCACCTTGTTTCAGTTGTTCGAACTCGGTCACTTTTCTGTCCTTTGTACGTCTCCTGGTATGAGTGCGAACACTCGGCCTTGCCTCATAGGCTCTTTCTCAGTACATTAATTCTGTTAAGGATTTCAACATTAAGGCCGCCTTCAAACTTCCTGGCCTTTTTGTAATCAGTATCAACCATGTGCGGTGCATAACGGGCAAGTTCGGTGAACTTTGTTTCATACTCTCCTACGGACATGGCACCTTGTTTCAGTTGTTCGAACTCGGTCACTTTTCTGTCCTTGACACACTGAGGGAAGTACTTTTCGAAGAAGGCTTCTTTGAATTGAGCCCAAGTCATAACAGTGTTGACATCACGGATAAGCATCCACCACCTTCTAGCTTCTTCTTGCAAAGTAAAGGTGGCCAGTAGCACTTTGTGTGCTTCAGAACATGGAAAAACTTCAAATAATTTTTCAGTCTCAAGAACCCAAGCTTCAGCTTTTAGCGGTTCGAGGCCTCCCTGAAAGGATGGCGGTTTTATCTTACTAAATTTTTGTGTCAGAGCTATGATATCATCATTCATAGGTGGCTCTGGTTGTACTGGAGGAGGTGGGGGCTGTTGGTTCTGTTGTTGCCCTAATCTTTCAGTTAGTAGTTCCACCATTCTCTCCAACATTGCCATTCTTGCTTCAGAGGACTCAGTTTCATCAACATTTCTTGCGTTGTCCATCTCACTATAGGCAGTTATAACAATTATAAACATAGGCAGTTGCATACTTAGGCAGATTATCACATTAGCAGTTATATTCATGTCGTAGTCACACACACTTATCATGCGCATGTAATGCCCTAATCACTTTTCTAGGACATCCTATAGCTCATTTGGACACATGTGTGCGGTATAACTCGTGATTTAATAACGCTCTAATACCACTCTGTCATGACCCAAACCCGCCCCTATAGGTTTAGCACCGTAACCGGCCAGTAATCCGAGATTACCGAAGGCCTGCTTAATAGTAAAACAGTAATTCATAGTACAGGGGCTGGCGGAAGCCAATACAGTAATTAAAATATATCCAATGCGCTGTGACAGTCTATATGCAAAAAGACTTTTCATATCATATACACATATATAATCAGTACCAAAACAGTATGTACAATATATACAATCATTCAGGACAGGGACTTAATCCCTATTTAAAATAGTACAGTACAACCATTCAGTCTATACAGTAATTTACAAAACGGATACAAAAAGGGAGAAACTAAAACACTCCAAAAGCCCTGGCATGAAGGACTTGGAACCTCGCAGTGAGGCACAGTGGTTGGCTTAACAAAACTGGAGTTTACCCCGACGCTTCTAGCAACGGTCCGATGTCTGTACACCTACATATATATATGAGCAGTGAACTAAAGCCCAGTGAATAACATAATGCGTAAAGAGGTTAAGAATGAATGTCCTTTTAGAATAGAAAACAGTCAATTGATTCAGTATATCAGTCATTCAGTCATAACAGTCATATGTGGTACATCCAATAACAGAACAGTACAGTAAACAGTAGGTCTTAAAAGACCGAACAGTCAATGATGGCCATCATAACAATAAACAGAAGTTCCAAGATAGGAACTAACACAGATCTTTGTAACAATAGCAGTAACAGTGATTACTATGGATGCCACAATACAGTTCAAAATAAAGGACATACATTCATTCAGTTAACAGTATCAATTCAGAAAACAGTTCAGTTAAACATTCAGAAAATATTCATCTTTGAACATATCTTTACAACATTGTTACTCACAGAGTTCTGGGCTACAAATAAGCTAGTACGCATCCTCGAATGCCAACCCTACACAGTTACAGAGTGAACACACACTGAGCTACACAGTTGGGAAAATAATAACTTAATCCCTATCTTGACTCAGTGTGGTTCTACATCAATATCCTCATTAAAATGCCTTAAACTAGGCCTAAGAATGCCTATGATGAAATGAGGATGTAAAGATGCACTTTTAAAACACTTAACAAATTTTCAGAAAACAGGGGTTCCGCTCGAGCGTGGGTTTACCCGCTCGAGCGTACAGGCAAACAAAATACTCCGCTCGAGCGGACTGTAAAACATGCCAAAAGTACTGGATGTGTAAAAATCACGCTCGATTGGGCGCTCGATACCCGCTCGAGCATGTGACACAAGTCCTCAATACCCCGCTCGAGCGGACTGTAAAACAGTGTAAAGTGCTGGATGCACAAATTTCACGCTCGAGCGCCAGTCACTCCGCTCGAGCGTGAGTCCAAAATCTGGAATTTCCATATTTGAACCTCAAGCTCAAAAACAAGTTTCAATGTACCAAATTCGATCATTTTGGGCTAATTTTCTGGAAAATACTTCAAAACTCATAGTATAACATGTTTCAAAGATCAATTTGAGAAATCAAATCCCAAAAGTAGTTCAATTAAATCCAATTTCAAACCAATTTTCATGAACATAACTCAAACATGACATGCATGAGTTTAAACCAATTCAAAGCTTCAATTACTTGCTCCAATAAGCCTCAACTTCCAAAAACAAGATGAAAACATGGACTATAACAATAATATGAACATGCATGTATCAAATTCCATGTAATCAACCTCAAAATGCAACAATGTAGACATGCATGCATGATATATGCTACAATTCAACATTATGAACCAACTCTTAGCTAGAATCTCTAATTTCTCGTGAATCATGCAAGACAACACACAAATACATCAAAGAGAGGTTGAATTCTCTACCTTAGATCTCCAATTCCAAGCCTAGAAGCTCAATTTTGCAAATCTTCTACCAATTCTCCAAGTCTCTAAGCCAATTTGAGATGGAAACAAGCTCTCTCCTATCTCTCTCTCTCTAGTCGGCCATGATCAGAAAAATGGGCTGAAGAAATGTTGTGTTTGCATGTAATAAGGCTCAACATGTATTGCCTAAATGGTCCATTAACATGGCAATATGGTAAATAAGGCAACTTGTGTAATTTAACTTATTTTAATCTAATTTAATCATACCAAATCCAAATTCAAGTAATTATACCATAAAATCCTATAAATTCTAATCATCACATAACACTAATCCATTTCTGGTTCGACCACCGATAAGGCTTTCAATTTGCGGTTTAAACATAAAACGTGAACAGATAGTTTAACAGTCGAACAGATAAAAATGCACTTAAACAGATAAAGACAATCAATCAGTTCAGGATTTCAGTCAATTCAGTCAATTATCATAATTAGTCTCAGTTTAACAGTAATCAGTGGTTTATCAGTAAATAGTGGTGAGGGTTGTCACAAGACGGTTCGTCAAAACTATTTATGAGTGAATGGGAAGTTGACATCGTTTTCGGGTTTATGGAATGAACAATTAAAGAATAAAATGTGGGGTTCCTTGTAAGGCTTGTCCTACATTGAAACTTTATGTGAGCTTTTGTAAGTATATGAGCTCTAGGTGTACAAACTTGGGTTGAGCCCCAGAGGGCACTCTAAGTTTGTAGAAGGGAGGAGTTATGAATAAAGTGAACCTTGGCTCAAACCACCACACGCAGGCCGCCGCCATCCGTCCGTCTGGCCGGGCTGGATGTGGATTGTGGGTTGGGTCTTAATATTAATTTTTTGGACAAAATTTATTTGAATTTTTTTCAAAATAATTTTTCTAAACAAAATTAATTCAAATTTGAATTCAATTTTTTTTTGTCCAAAAACAGTGCTCCTCCAGTCCATTTCCAGCGATAACCGGTCCAGCAGGAGCAAACAGTCCGTACCTGTTTAGTTTGAAGTTTGTATCTATTCATTTCAAACTGTATCTGTTCAGTTTCAAATTTGTACATGTTCAGAATTTCTAAACAGTCACCATTTGTCCTATAAATAGAAGTCTCATTCCAGTAGATTTTCACAATCACAAACATCTGAAATTCATTTTTTGCTTTCTAGATTTTTCTCTCTTGCATTATTGTTCTTCATATTAGTTTTAGGAAAAATATTTGAGAGTATAGAACGCAAGTTCTAGTTTGCCGAAACATATTGTTTTTAGTGCTAATACAATCTGTGAAAGATCATTTCATCCTGAGAGATAGACGTCATTTATCCGTAAGCACAAAAGCGGGGCAAATTTATCTTAAAGACAGAGTGTCACACACTCAACTTGGTTTATTTTTCTACTTATTTATTTTGGTAAAATAAATTATGTAAGTAATTTATTTTTATTTGTTTGATTTGTTTCAAGTTTTTATTTTTACACAGAAGATTGTTCCAACAATCTTAAGATAGATTCGAGTTATTCTATTGAAATATAATTTTTCATTTGTTTCCTTTCTTTCTTTCTTCTTCTTACAGAAATTATTTTCTGTGATTTTATAAAATAATATTTTGGTTAGAAAAACAAATAGTAGTAATATATTGTTTGAAAAATAGTAGTAATATACTGTTTATTTTCTTTGACAACTAGTAGTAATATACTGGTAGTCATTAGCAATTCAAAATATTTATTTGTGAAGTTGGTCAGAAATTAATTTTGGTTTTCAGAAATAATTTCTGAGTTTCATTAATTAAAATTTCGTTTTCAGTATTTTAATTTTTGAAGTGTTATAGAAATATTTTTCTGTGTAGAATTAATTTGTTTAAATAATATTTTATTTTCAAATTAATTGGAAATAAAAGTTACAATTTTTTATTTCTTTTATTTTTACAGAATTTAATTTTGTATTTATGGTTTAAATTTTCTGTGTAGTATAAAATTCTAATTATAATTTTGTTTTATAATTTAAAATTCATGGTTACTGAAACTAATGCTCAAACAAGTACTGATATGGTGGTTACAATTGCGCTAACCCCTTCTCCTATTGTGACTGTGCCAGTCAATCATGGTGAAAAGTCAGAGAAGTTCTTAGGAATTGATTTTAAAAGATGGCAGTAGAAAATGCTATCTTACTACTCTTAACCTGACACGTTTTCTCCGTGAGGATGCACCTATTCTGAAAAAGGATGAAATCGACCAGCAAGTGGTTACTGCGGTCGATGCCTGAAAACATATTGATTTCCTTTGCCGAAATTACATTTTGAACGGACTTGATAACATATTGTACAACATCTACAGTCTTATCAAGATGGCAAACGAACTTTGGGAGTCTTTGGAGAAAAAATACAAGACAGAAGATGCTGGCTCAAAGAAATTTGTGGTTGGTGAATTCTTGGACTTTGTGATGGTTGATTCTAAGACTGTGATCAGCCAAGTTCAAGATCTCCAACTTATTTTGTATGACATTCATGTAGAAGGCATGTCTTTTAGTGAATCCTTTCAAGTTGCTGTCTTAATTGAAAAATTATCACAAGGCTAGAAGAAATTCAAGAACTACTTCAAACACAAGCACAAGAAATGACTCTAGAGGAATTGACTGTGCATTTGAGGATTAAGAAGGACAACTGCAATTCTGAGAAGCGGGTTGGTAAGCATCCAATGGAGTCTGAGGCTAATGTGGTGGAACATGCTCCAAAAACAAAGAAATGAAAGTTTTCTAAAGAAAGTTTCTCACAAGGCTCTAAAGGGGGGGAAACTAAAAAGTACAAGTTTAATGGCAAATATTACATCTGTGAAAAAGAGGGACATTGGGTTAAAGATTGCCGTAACAAGCGCAAAGGCAAAGGAAGATCAAACAAGAAGCCTGCTCAAGCCAAAATGACCGAAGTTGATAAAATTTCCAATGGTGTTGAGGACATAAATCTTTCTGCAATTGTTCCCGCGGCAAACCTTGTCAGAAATCCTAAAGAATGATGGGTGGACATTGGTGTTACTTGCCACATCTGTGTCGACAAAGAGATGTTCACATCTTTTTTCTGTAGTCGACAATGGCGAACAACTTTTTATGGGCAACTCCTCGACTTCTAATGTTGAAGGACAATGAAAGATTATTTTGAAGATGACATCTGAAAATGAACTCACTCTCAACAATGTGCTGCATGTACCGGACATTCACAAAAATCTAGTCTCTGAATCTCTGTTGAGTAAAAATGGGTTTAGGTTAGTTTTTGAAAGAGACAAATTTGTACTTACCAAAAACAGGATGTATATAGGAAAAAGTTACAAGTCTGATAGCCTTTTCAAAATGAATGTAATGACTGTTGTACCCTCTATTATTAATAAAAATACATATTCTTCTTACTTGCTTGAGTCTTCAAATTTGTGATATGGTAGACTAGGACATGTTAATCATGAATCTTTACATAAATTAATTAATATGGAATGTTTACCTAAATTTGACATTGATTTAAATCATAAATGTAAAATTTGCGTTGAGACAAAATTAACTAAAACTCATTTTCATTCAATTGAACCAAGTACGAAGCTACTTGAATTAATTCATAGTGACATTTGTGATTTTAAATCAATTCAAACTAAAGTTAGGAAAAAATATTCTATCATTTTCATAGATGACTGTGACAACCCTCACCACTGATTACTGCTAAACTGTGACTGAACATGATAAGTAACTGATTAGACCGAAATTCTGAACTGATTGCCTGACTGTATTAATTTAAGTGCATTTCTATCTGTTTGCCATTAATTGATCTGTTCATGTTTTAAGTTTCGAACTGTAAATTGAAGGCCTTATCGGCGGCCGAACTAGAAATTGATTAGTGTTTTATGTTAATTAGAATTTATGTGATTTTATGGTAGATTTAATCGAAATGTGATTTGGAATGATTAAATTAGATTGAATAACATCGAATTACATTAGTTGCATTAATTACCAAATTGCCACTTAGTGGCTTGACACTAGACCATCCCTTTTCTACCTCATTCATGTTGGATACATCTTTTGTTCATCTTTGAGAGACCAAACAGAGAGAGAGAGAGAGATAGAGAAAAAACTTGATTTCAACAAATTTAGCTTAGAGACTTGAAGATTTTGAAGAGAGATTGCATAATTGAGCTTCTAGACTTGACATTGAAAACCTAAGGTAGGAAATCATCTTCTTGATTGTAAATTCTAGTTGTATCTTGCATGGTCCATGAGCCATTAGTGATCAAAGTCTAGAATTGATTTTAAATTGTTGAATTGAAGCTTGAATCATGCATGCATGTTTACATTCTTGAATTTTGAGGTTGTTTTCATAGAATCATCACATACATGTCCATATTTTGGTTATAGTTCATGAATTCATCATGTTTTGGAAGGATTGGCTCATTTGATCTTGTATTGGAAGCTTTGATTTCAATTGAACACTTGCATGTTACATATACATTATGTTCATGAAGTTTTGTTTGGATTTGTGTTTAATTGAACTACCATTGGGCTTTGATTTTACAAATTGATCTTTGAAACATGTCATATTATGAGCTTTAAAGTGTTTTTCAGAAAATTGGCCCAAAGGAATCAAATTTGATGCTTTAAATGTCGAATTTGAGCTTGAAGGTTCAATCTGGAAATTCCAGATTTTGGACCCACGCTCGAGCGTAAGACTTCACGCTTGAGCGTACACTCTGAGTACATGCAGTCCGCTCGAGCGTGGAAAGTAACGCTCGAGCGTGAAATGCGTGTATCCAGTACCTTTCACATGTTTACAGTCCGCTCGAGCGAGGGAATGCACGCTCGAGCGGAGGTCGAGCGCCCATCGAGCGTGAATTGCATGCATCCAGTACTTTTACCTAAGTTTGCAGTCCGCTCGAGCGAAGGAAGTCACACTCGAGTGGAGCTCCTTTATCTGCATGTCCGCTCGAGCGTAGAAAGCCACGCTCGAGCGAGACCCCTGCTTTCTGAAAAATTTGAAAAGTGTTTTAAAGTACATCTTTGCATCCTCATTTAAGGCATCTTAATGAGGTTATTGATGTAGAACCACACCGAGTCAAGATAGGGACTAAGTCATTGATTCCCAAGTGTGTAACTTAGTGTGTGTTCATTCAGTAACTGTGTAGGATTGGCACCCGAGGACGCTCACTAGCTACTATTAGTCCAGTGCTCTGTGAGTAACAATGTTGTAAAGATATGTTCAATCATGAATATTTTCTGAATGATCAACTGTATTGCTTTCTGAAATGATATTTCTTACTGAATGAATGTTTGTCCTATTTGTAAACTGTATCCGTGGCATCCATAGCAATTTACTGTTACTGCTACTGTCACAGAGATCTCTGTCGGTTCCTATGTTTGGAACCACTACTGTTTACTGTTATGATGGCCATCAACTAACTATTCGGTCTGTTAAGGCCTACTGTACTGTTTGCTATTGGATGTACCACATATAACTGCTATGGTTTTTAAATGACTGATATGACTGCTTATTGACTGAATGGACATTCATTCTTAACCTCTTTACATAACTGTTATTCATTGGGCTTTAACTCACTGTTTATATATATATGTAGGCGTCAGGCACTGGACCAATGCTAGGAGCGTCAGGCTAAGCTCCCGTTTTGTGAAAGCCAACCATTGTGCCTCACTTCGAGGTTCCGAGTGCGTCAAGCCAAGGCTATTTTAGGGTGTTTTAGATTTCCCCTTTTGCCTCTGTTCTGTAATGAATGTTGAGACTGGCACTATACTGTTATGGTAGGGATTTGGTCCCCAACTTGAATGTCTGTATATAATGTGTGTATGTACATACTGTTTTGCTTATGAATGTGAATATGTTCAAAAAAGTCTTCTTGCATACAGAATGTCACAGCTTATTGGACATCTTTTAATTACTATTTTGGCTTCCGCCAGCCCTGTACTCCGTATTACTATCTTTATTGTTAAGCAGGCCTTCAGTAATCACGGATTATTGGCCGGTTACGATACTAAACCCATAGGGGCGGGTTTGGGTCGTGACAATGACTATACTAGATATAGTTATATTTATTTAATTCGAACAAAGGATAAAACTTTAAAAACATTCATTCAATATAAGAATGAAATTGAAAATTAATTTGGTAAGAAAATTAAAAAAAAAACTAAGAAGCGATAGAGGTGGTGAATATGAATCACATTTTTGTGAGTTTTGTAAAGAACATGGAATAATTCATCAAATCATCGCTCCTTACTCACCTCAGCAAAATAAAATTACTGAAAGGAAAAATAGGACATTAAAAGAGATGATGAATGCCATGTTAATCAGTTCTGGATTACCTCAGAACTTGTGAGGGGAAACAATACTTTCTGCTAATTATATATTTCATAAAGTATCCCGAAACAAAGTGAATCAAATGCCTTATGAAATGTGTCATGGGAGAGTACCATCCTTTAAATATTTAAAAGTAAAGACTAAGATAGGTTCTAAAACTATTGATTGCATTTTCATTGGTTGTGTCAAGAATAGTAGTGCATATTGATTTTTGATTCATAAGTCAGAACATTCCAAAATATATGTAAATACTATTATTGAATCTCGGAATACATCGTTCTTTGAACATATATTTCTGAATAAAACTGGACAAGAGACTAGTACTAATAAAAGATCTTATGATGCTATTACTAGTTGTGATCAAGAACAAGAGCAAGAGATAGATCAAAATAAGGAAGAGGAACCTAGGCGTAGTAAATATGCTAGAACCTCAAAATCTTTTGGTCCAGATTTCCTAACATTTTTGTTAGAAAATGGGCCTTTAACTTTTAAAGAAGCTATGTCCAATCCTGAAGTTCCTTTATGGAAAGAAGTTGTAAATAGTGAAGCTAAATCCATCTTGCAAAATCATACTTGGGAATTGGTAAATTTGTCACCAAGTTGTAAACCTTTTGGATACAAGTGAATTTTTTTTAAAAAAATAAATAAAAGCGGATGGATCAATTAACAAATACAAGGCAAGACTTATGGTCAAAGGATATAGACAAAAAGAAAGTTTTGACTACTTTGACACATACTTACCAGTTCCTAGAATAACATCCATTAGAATACTAATTGCCATTGCATCTTTATACAATCTAAAAATTCATTAAATGGATGTTAAAACAGCTTTTTTAAATAATAAGTTAGATGAAGAAATTTATATGAAATAACTAGAAGGATTTTCTATTCCAAGAAAAGAAAAGAAAGTGTGTAAACTGGTTAAATCATTATATGGTTTAAAACAACCGCCAAAGCAATGGCACGAGAAATTTGATAAGGCAATGATGTCAAATGGATTCAAAATTAATATGAATGTGACAAATGTGTTTATATTAAAAATACAAACAAAAGTTACGTTATAGTGTGCCTTTATGTGAATGATATGCTTATCATAAGTAGTAATAATGACATGATTAAAACTATCAAAAAAATGTTAAATAAACATTTTGATATGAAAGACATGGGGATTGCTGATGTAATACTTAGTATGAAAATTACCGAAACATCAGAAGGTTATGCTTTGTCACAATTACATTACATTGAGAAAATACTTGACAAATTCAGCAAAGAAGATGATCATCTTGCTAGAACACCTGTGAATGTTAATTTGTTTCTTTCTAAGAATGTATAGGAAAATATTTCTCAATTAGAGTATGCCCAAATTATTGGAAGCTTAATGTACTTGATGAACTGCACTCGCCCGGATATAGCTTATGCAGTAAGCAAACTAAGTAGATATAAAAGTAATCTAGGAGTAGAACACTGGAAAGCAATTATAAGATTTCTAAGATATCTCCGATTTACTCGTAACATTGGACTTAATTATACTAGATATCCAGTAGTACTTGAAGGATACTATGATGCAAATTGGATATTGGATACTAGAGACTCAAAATTCACCAGTAGGCATGTCTTTACTCTTGGCGAGGCAGCTGTATCTTGGAAATCTTCCAAACTGACTTGCATTACTAGGTCTACTATGGAATCAGAGTTTATAGCTTTAGATAAAGTTGGGGAAGAAATAGAATGGCTTCGCCACTTCCTTGAAGATATTCCAATGTGGCCAAAATCGGTGCCTGCTATATGCATGCATTGCAATAGTGTGACACCTTAATTATTTAATTAAATACCATGTATAATTAAAATTAAAATTAAATCAAAGTTTAAAAAAATAAAATAAAAAATTGGTGCGAAGTTTTGTTGCCACCCTAACATATAGGGTGGTGAATATGGCCTTATAGGTTGGTCTAATCATCAAAGTAGGGAAACGTGGGAGTAAGCAGTGAAAACACCTGTGGGACAGGTGGCTTAAAACTGCCACACAGCAAAAACATTAGTGAG